GGGGAGAGAAAGTAAAAGCGAGAAAACTTGTGGGTTGAGATAAAAACAGTTTAATAATTGATAATTGAGAATGTCCCTTTGGCCAGTTTGGCTGTGCCCCCTCCCAGCTTCTTGTGCACCTCCAGCCTTCTCAGTCGGTAGAGCACGGGAAGCTGGGAAGTCCTTGACTATTGTAAGCACGACTTAGCAACAACTAAAACATCGGTGCGTTATCAACATTGTTCTCATCCTAAATCCAAAACACTGTACCAGCTACTAGAAAGGAAATTAACTCTATCCCAGCCGAAACCAGGACAGCTTCTCACAGCCCAACTGCTTCCATCGCCCTCATTTTCATCCTGGAAAGGATGCTCTAGGCAGCACGGAAGCTGTAGCAAAAGTCTTCCACAACAACATTAGGAAAACGTTGTGTAAAGTGCTGGGCAGAAGCCCAGTAATGATGATTTTTAGCACAGTGAAGGGGCCTTACATTATTTCTTAACTGCACATCAGAAGGGTGACCATAAATAAAACTGTTTAACAGATTTTCTGGTTCAACTCACAGTGCATAATTGGCACCTAGTGGCAGGCAGGACAGCCCACGCCATCACCTACCAGCTCTGGCCTTCTGCGATGCATGCTGTGGAAGAGGTAAGATCACGAGGACAGTCTTACTCTGGTACTGGAGTCACTTGCCATGTAGTTTCATCCACTTTGAGATGCAACTTTTTAGCTGCAGCCCTGGATCATCACCACCTTAAGGGCACTGTAAACGGACGCTCAGTGGCTTTATAAAGCAAAAGGGTGCCCACACAGTGGGTGAACATCTTTGCTGCATACCCAGCTGTGCTTCAAAGAGCCGCAAGAATGAAAAAGTCACCTCTTCTACCAAACAAATAACATAGAGACTGTCGTTGGACAGGCAGGAGGGCCAGGATGACCAACAGGACACAATCCTTGCTGGACTGAGCCCCCGAGGGCTGACAGTTCTCTCCGCTGCTCCAGAGGAAGCACATCTTCCCGCTTCAGCTAGCTCTTTACCACCAGCTGGTGCCAGCTGGTCCCAGTCACCTTTTTCCCCAGGAAAACATGCCATTATCCAGGACAGGATTTCACGCCAGCTACCTTTGCTCCCTGCCCTCCGGAGCAAGGCAGTGTCATGCATGCCCAGCCCAGCTTGGGAGCGCTGCTGCTCCCGGTGAAGGAAGACCACGGGGGCATTGCCACACAGGGCGGGCTATGGCCGGGAAGGAGGTGCCAGTGCTGTGGCTGCGGGCTGTGTTGGGCTGTGGTTCGGGGGGGAAGGCGTTGGTCTGGCCGGCTGACAACAGCCACTGGCTGAACATGGGGTACATACTCCAGGAGCTTGTGGTCTGGGGCCACGAGGTGACCATGCTGCTGCCTTCGTGCTTGCATCCTCAACTCCACACAGCCCTCACCCTTCCAGTTTGAGGTAGTTGAGGTGCCAATCACCAAAAAGGAGATGCCTACCTTACTGGAAGAAGCTTTCTATTTTGGTTTTACCAAGAAAGAGCGCTACCTGTCTGGGAAAGTCTTTACAAGATAGCTCAACTGGTGTACAAGCTGAAGAACATAACCAAAATAATTTGTGATGAAGTCCTGAAGAATGAGACGCTGCTGGAGAGACTAAGGGCATCCACCTTCGATGTCCTCTCGGCAGACTCACTGGCACCCAGTGGGGAGCTGTTGAGAAGCTGGGTATCCCCTTCGTGTACACCGTCCAGTTCTCCATAGGCAACACGGTGGAGCGACTCTGTGGGACACTCCCAGCACCTCCTTTCTACGTACCAGCCACCCTAATCTGCCTAACAGATAGGATGTCTTTCCTGGAAAGGCTAAAAAGCATCTTCACCTACACTGTGCAGGATATCATATATCATTACCTTCTCTGGGGAAGCTGTGATCAATACTATAGTGATGTTTTAGGTAAGGCTGCTCTTACTTCCAGAAATTACATCTGCGGTACACACAAGAGTAAATACCCAGAGCTTAGAGGTTAAGGCACAAATTAGGAGCAAGACAGCCCTGAACTCATTCTCCTTCCTCCAAAATTCCTGCATCAAGTCAAACAATCCAGGCAAGTACAAACGTTACCTGTTAATCCTGACCTGCTACACTAGTACAGCTAAGTCCGTACAGGTACTTCTAGGATAGGTAAAACAGTGCTAAAGCCACTTGAAACAGAGCTCATCAGTCATATTCGTAGATGAATCGTGACAAACACTAAGAACAGCAAAATAACACTATATACCCACCAAACACTACTACTGAATTAAACCTTTGAAATAGAATTAAAAAATGATTTTGGAAAGCTATACAACAATACTACCTTTTTTCCCCTAGCACCCTTCTTGCCTGCTAGCTTATCTCAAAATGAGAGAAAACGGCCTCCTGTGGTCTTTTAAAGGCTTGGGAGAGCAGCTGAGCCCCAAATTGCAGTGATAAAAGGCCCTCAGCAGAGACAGGGTTCTTTGCTTTTCTGAAAGTGTCTAAAAGATATATTAGAAGATAGCTGTATTTATGTTTTTTTCTTTTTTAAATAATAGTTGCATAATTATTTTCACGTTTTTGCTCTAAGTGATTATTGTAATGCTTAAAAGGAAACAGGGCAAACATACATGCATTGTTGGTGGGCAGATAAAATGGATATTATTTCAATATGAGACTCTAAGTGTTTTTATTTATATTTTACTAGTAGGGTGTAATTCTGCTAAGAGAGCTAAGTTGTTAAGATATCCTACTATTAGAGTACCTAGCTGTGTGTTTACTTGTGCTGCTTATCATGTTTGACAGACTAGAAAATGTTTTGCTGGCTTAAGCATGGTTTTCTGATCTCCTGTTGTGTAAGCCTCAGAGCTGCTTGGATCTTGTGTTGTCTATTTTATTGTTAAATGTGGGGTTTAGCATTTAAGGCTCCATGTGCAATACCTGTTTTGTTAGCTGTGTTAGCTTAGCTGTTCTCTACCCTGACTGTGATATGCTTTGATCCGGAGTGTATCCAGGCCTGAAGGAGGTGTGAAAGGAAGGGGCAAGCATCTCACAGAAATGGGGCAATGTCCCAGCTCCTGTGGTGTATGCATGCACCTTCTCTTTCTCCTTGGAAAATCTTCTTCAGGGCTCTTATTAGTCTAGCTGCTTTCCTAGAGCTACCTAAAGGCTTTTTCAAGTGATGAGGTTGAAGCATGATGAAAGACTGCTTGCTCCACTGTCAGTCTAGTGAGGGGAGCTCATGTGGTGGTGCTGAGCTCCTGGAGGAGTGCTCAGGCCCCGTTTAGACTCAGTCTGAGCCTCATTTGCCCTCTGCTGAGAGAGCAGCTGCTTGTTCTTTTCCCTGAACACATCAGTAGCACCAAGCATCTCCACTACATCTGCAGGATACAGTCAAGAGGAGAAGTCAGGTCTCTTGTCTTTGGCAGTATCTGTCCTGGACTACATGATGTGGATACACTAATGCCAGTTTGCAGCATCTTCCCCAGAGAAGGCACAGAAGCAGCAAGGTGAGCCAAACCTGTGCTCCTCACTTCCTCCTGTTTCTCTCCTGGGGTGGCCTGATGCTAGAGTCATCTCTACCAGGACTGTGTCCTTTCAGCGGCAGTGCTGTGTGTCCACAGCATCTGGTTATAGGGAGGACAGAACTAGAGCACCCTGTGGGCTAGTTGTGAATCACTGCAGGACATTTTGCACCTAGTAAATGAAGAGATAAAAATTGTAATCAGCTTTACAGGTAGGTTGGTTCCTACAGGGCAAAGAAGCAAATCTAGGCTGTAGTCAAGTGATAAGATGGGGTTCATCTTGTAGCTGTCAAAAAAGTCCCATGGGCTGCTGATGTGCTTTCCCTAGCCTGAGCTCCTGCTTGGTAAGGAATGCGTATCTTCACCTTGAAGATCTGGTATGAGGGTATACTGATTTTGGCTGGAATACAATTAATTTTCTTCATAGTAGCTTGCATGCGGCTGTATTTTGGATTTGTGCTGAAAACAGTGTTGATAACACAGGGATGCTTTAGTTACTGCTGAGCAGTGCTCACACAGTGTCAAGGCATTTTATGCTTCTTGCACTGCCCCACCAGCGAGCAGGCTGGGGGTGCACAAGAAGTTGGGAGGGGGCACAGCCAGGACAGCTGACCCCAGCTGACCAAAGGGATATCCCATACCATGTGATGTTGCGCTCAGCAAAAAAAGCTGGCGGGGGGAGAAATTTGCCAGGGCTGCTGTTGCTCAGGGACTGGCTGGGCATTGGTTGGCTGGTGGTGAGCAATTGTTCTTTTTGCATTACTTGTTTTTCTTGGTTTTATTTTTGGTTTTTGCTTATTAAACTGTCTCTATCTCAACCCATGAGTTTTCTAACTTTTGCCCTTCCAATTCTTTTCCCCTCCTACTGCGGGGGAGTGAGAGGCTCTGTGGTGCTTAGCTGCCTATCAAGATTCAACCACAACCAGGGCTTCTGGTCCTCACATGCTGCAAAATGCACTTTGTGGTGAGCAGAAACAGGAGTTGCCATCATTTCCAGATCAGCTGTGGCTCTGCAGAAGACTCCAGAACGGGATTTGCTGCTTGCCCAGTCCTCCCATGAGTGTTGTTTTGTGTTCTGACATGCCCTTTTGCCAAGCTTGGCACCAGGTGGATCTCACTTTTATTGGCTGGCTCTGAAGTGTTTGCACACTGGAGCAGCAAACTGCTTCCAGATCAATCAGACCGGAGTTGTACATGGACTGCTGAGATGATGGGGCCAAGGTTCCCCTGGCTGCTCTGGGCCTACGCATGCTGCTGGAGCACTGGCTTTTGTGGGAAGGTGGTGGTCTGGCCCACCCATGCAAGTCACTGGATCAATATGAAAGTGCTGCTGGAAGAGCTCGTTCTCCGGGGTCATGAAGTGACTGTGCTGGTGCCCTCAAGCAATCTGCTCATCAAATACCAAGACACCTCCTCCCCCTTCACCTTTGAGGTCCTGCAAGTCCCCTTTACGCAGAAGACCCTGCATGATACCATGGATGACTTCCTCAATTTCTGGATGAATGAGGTCTCTAATCTCTCCCCCTGGGAGATCATGTGGAGGATGAAAGAGCACCTGGAGGTCTTTACCAATATGTCAAAGCAGACCTGTGACACCTTGGTGATGAACCCTCAGCTGATAGCAAAGCTGCAGCAGGCCAAGTTTGATGTTCTGATCGCTGACCCCCTGTCTGTAGGTGGGGAGCTCGTAGCAGAAATCCTGGCAATCCCTTTTGTCTACAGCATCCGCTTCTCTGCTGGCAATGTGCTAGAGCGGCTGTGCGGTGGGCTCCCATCCCCATCTTCTTATGTGCCTAGTAGCACAAGGGGGCTGACAGACCAGATGTCCTTCATGGAAAGACTACAGAACTTCCTCTTTTGCTTTTACACGGATTTATTTTTCTTGAAGTTTTGGCAAGACGAATGGGATGGGTACTACAGTAATGTCTTAGGTAAGGCAGCTGTTGAGTGGTTTCTCCTCTTGCATAGGTTGTGCCTTTTGAATGTTTTGAGAGCTCAATGCTGTTGTCTCAAAATACTCTTTCTCAATGGCCAGCAGAGATGTTAATCCCGTTTTGGTCACATGGAGGCTGTGCTTTCCCTTTTAGAGGTCTGGTCTAGTCTAACAGACACCAGTGCAGTTTTGCTCTAGTTCCTCTTGAGCATCTTTAGAGCACACATTTCTGATTTTTGTCAGTGATGATCCTGCTGGTGAGCAACTGCAGTGAGCTATATGCCCATTGTAGTGCTTTCAGAGGACAGTTGTTGTCTCTTCATCTTGATGACAGGCACTTTACAATTAAGATGGTAGCAGATAAAGGGGGGAGGGCAAAATCATTCCTTAACTAAGTGTAAGGCACTGGAGACAGCTCCATTGACAACATAGGGATGGAGTTAACCCTGTTGTAACTAGGAACACTGGCTGTCTCTGGACAACTGCAGAACAAAAAAGCACCCTTCATTCACATTGCATGCATTGTCTGGAGGTATCATCTTGCAACCCTGCGTAGTACAGGATGCTAAGCGTTAGTTCATGTTCTCCAATAATAAATGCTAAGAACTGTCACCTTTCCCTTTCATCCACTATTCAGAGTTTGAAATAGTCTCCTTAAACTACATACATACCTGAAATTTTTGTTCCAACCTAGTACAACTCAGGCTTGATTCAAAGTTCAATGGACTTTGAATCTCGTACAGAGTATCTATGTTTAGGCAGATAACAAGTGAACAGCAAGCTTAAGGGCATCTATTCTATTGCCCTCCAATCTCTTCCTGCACTTCCCAAGAACACCTCTGTGCTCGGCAAACTAGTCCCTTTTCCCTGGATTTTTTTTTTAATATCACATAAGACTTAATTACATCTTTATATCACTCTATTTGTAATGCAGGCTTAATTTTCACTCCAGAAACTTTGTAACTGACTCATTGCTCTTTACTTAAAATAAAATAAGAAAAAGTAACTGCATGTAAATTGTAACACTGATCAAATAGTATAAGAAGATGCCCTACAGATAATTTTTATCTTGTTGCTTATTTTGCTTGGTTACTGCTTGCATTAGGCTGGCTTTGGACAATCATTTACCAACTTGTAACCCTTTTACTCCCCTGTTCCACTTTGTGGGGAAAATACTGCAAAGACAACTCGCAACGTGTACCTGACAGTATATATTTTTCCAAATGGGAGGCTATAAAACAGTTTTTTACCCATTGGATTTTTTCCTATAGATGGATTTATAGAGACATTGGATTTTGCACAAAATGACATTCAAAGCATCTATGGATTTGGCCAAATTTTCCCAGTATGTGTCAGAAGGAGCTGACCCAGTCCCCAGAAGAACTAGAGATGGCTGTACCTGGCTTTTATTGTAGTCTGAGCAGCCACTGACTGAGTCACCATTTGAAAAATGCCACAGAATTTTGTTTAAAAACTTTCCTCCTCCCTGACTGGTGATAATCACTTTGCGATTCATTTGTTTTTTATTTGGAACTGAATTTTCTGTGATTGTTCTCTTCCCCAAAGTGCATTTTTATTACAAGCACAGGTAATGAAGTCTTTCAGCAGTACAAGAATTGCACTTCTGTATCACAGAAACTAAATGCTTCCCACTTACTCTTGTACTGCTCTAAATTCATCCTGAAGGTTCAAAATCCTTTTAAAGATCGTATTGCCTTGTTTGTGGCAACCTGCCAAGGCTGAACACAGGACAGGGCAAGGAATAGGTCTGGATTTGTCCATGTTTTCATTTCGTGCATGATTTGATAGACTACACTGACTGGGAGCGCCAAAACACAAAGGTAAGGCTCCTATTCTGCAATCTACAGCAAACAAGACTGCTCCCATGCGTGTTGTAAACCTATTGTACCTTGTCCATAGGAAGGCCCACAACCCTGTGTGAGACGATGGGGAAAGCAGAGATATGGTTAATCAGAACATACTGGGATTTTGAATTTCCACGGCCTTTCCTGCCCAACTTTGAGTTCGTTGGAGGACTTCATTGCCAGCCTGCAAAGCCGTTACCAAAGGTATCCCAACTTTGTTCCACTGCTGGTTGGCTGTTTGCCCAGCAGAGTAAAACCTGTTTCTGTCCCTGATCAGCCATGCAAGCCATGTCCTGAGAAAGCTCATTCTTAGCGAAGATGCTCTGCTACCAGTGGGGAGCACGGAGCTATTTAGCAATCTGTCCATACTTGTGCAAACTGAGGGCTGGGTTTACAGCCTGCTATCTTAAAAGAGGATAGCTGAGGTCAGCAGGAGGGAATACAATGTTTGTTTTAGGAAAAATAGGTGCTACCTCAGAGTAGTTAAGTGTAAGATTTAATTCTAAGATACAGACTTGCAGCCCATGATAACATTGAAATACCTGATGCAAAAAGGCACTGTGACGGGACAAATTCTTTAGACAAAATGGTCTCAAGACTTGCAGAAAGAGACTAGTGATAAACACTTTTTCTATTGTTGCTTAGTTTAAGACATCTTAAAGGGAGTAAAATACTGAGCATCTCCAGCCTACACTCTGCTGTGACTGGTAATATTCAGGTGGAATTTGAAACTCCCAGATACTGAGGATGGCAACATGACAAGCTCTGGTCTAGATTATCACTCCTGTAGGAGCCTTAGAGGAGGTAGGGTATTTTCAGTGCAAGTTGTCTACTAAAAGAAACCTTCTAACTCTCTTCCCACTCCCCTGTAGCAGTGGTTGAGTTGGGGGAAATGGATAACCATTCTCTTTTGGAGGCTATTGCTCCATTTCACATGACACTAACTAGAAAAAGGAACAGGAAGACCTATTGGTCTGATTTGTAGAAAATCTGTTTAGCAACATGTTCTGTATTGCAAGAAATAGAGAACTGGCTGACTAACAAAGTGACAGCAGCGACTCCATGAATCTCTGATCAGGATGCTGAAAAACCCTGTCCGTTTTCAGCACTGTCCCTTCCTGCAGAGCTATGACATGCAAAGTACTTGTTCCAGGAAAATCCAGAACCATGACTGACTATGCTAGGGAGGGTGTCACAGCATATGGCCCTCTCAACGTCAGTGCCAGGATTCATTCCTGCTGCTTGTGCTCTGAAAGAAATGTGTCCTGAAACTGCTTGACTTGCTTTCAAAAAGACAAAGCTTCTATCACCTGTCTCAACTTGTCCTGCTCCTTCTTGGGGAGAAACTGTCTGTTCGCACAGGGCCAGGTCTATCTCTGTAATGCCCCTCTGTCAGCGGAGGTGCTCATACACCACGATCGTCTCCTTGATAAGCTAAAAAGGTTATGCTCTCTATTCATAGAAATCTGTGTAATCTGCAGTGCATAATTACTCTTAGTATGTTTTCCTCTCCTAGGAAATGGAAGAATTTGTTCAGAGCTCAGGGGAACACGGCATCATGGTCTTCTCTTTCGGGTCGATGGTCTACAACCTAACTGATGAAAAAAGTAATGTGATTGCCAGAGCCCTCAGCCAGCTTCCACAAAAGGTGAACTTCCTTTCAATTCTAAAACAATTTGCCTCATTTTTTGTCACTCCTGTTGCCTTCAGCGAGCCTTTTACATTGACTGGCCTGTTTTTTATCTGCATCTCTGCTGGATGTGCCACAGCTGGGAAGCTGGGCTCTGCGGAGAGGCAGACTGCTGAGTCACCTCATGGCGAGTTCTGGTGTTTCCCCTTCTCTGAACCAAATGACGTGGAGGTGTGTCGATAGGCCAAAATATAAAAATCGCTCTATGCAATTTTTATAATAAGCACATAATAACTAATCAAAGAGCTAAACTGGAGCCAAAGCTATTTGAATTACTGGGAAAAGGTATGTGGATTTGAGACAAAGCCCTACATTACATGTAATAATATAGAAGGGCACGTCACATGCACTATGTTTATCTTATTCTTCCTTTGTTCAAGGTCCTCTGGCGGTACAAAGGAAAAAAACCAGAAACTCTGGGCTCCAACACCAGGATTTATGACTGGATACCCCAAAATGACCTGCTTGGTGAGACTGATTCTATCTGGGATGCATTGTGCCCTTCGAAAAACTGTTTCATTCTTTATTTTTCCACTAAAATGGCTTATTCAGGCAAAAGAACCACATAACGCTTGTGGCTACAATTAGTTTCACAGCTTAAGCAGCAGAGGTTTGCTCTTGGAGCCTTAATTTCCTAGCCTGCTTTTGACTTTAAGGTGAGTGGCTGTACAAGAACCATGGAAGATACAGACAGGCTGTGAAGGGAGTACGGAGCAGTGGCTCAAGAAGGCAGTAACTTGAGCTTAGCTATAAAGATGGATCTCTAAAGCAAAAGCCTCTGTCTTACAGAGCTTGGTGGCAATTGTCTGGAAGGGCTAAGAATCACCTGTAGGCGATGTAAATCTGTAATACCAAATATCTGTAAATATCAAAGTAGACCTGTACTCTGGAGCTGGATTTGGCCTCTGCATTTAATCTCCAGGGCTCATTCTTCAAAATGCTTGACCTAAGCAAGGCTGCAGCAGGGGGCTGTTGTGAACCTGATACCATTTAAAAACTAGAACTGCACAACAGCAGAAGGGCTGAAGTAACTCTGGGGTAGTCTGGAGGAATGTGCTGATTCACACATTGCATTAAAATAAATATGAATGTGTGAAAGCTAAGCGTCCAAGCTCTGATGCTGATCCAGAGGTCAGGGCTGTTCCCTTCTCTAGCAGTGCATTTGCCCGGGTAGTTTGCAGTACTCATGCCCCAGTGAACGCAGTCTGCCACAGCTGCTGTTACACATGCCTCTCCTTCCCTGTTCCAGGCCATCCCTTGACAAAGGCTTTTATTACTCATGGTGGGACCAATGGAATCTATGAAGCTATCTACCACGGGATCCCGATGGTTGGGATTCCCGTATTTGCCGACCAGCACGACAATATTGCTCATATGAGGGCAAAGGGAGCTGCAGTTCAGCTGGATTTCAGCACACTGAAGACGCAGGACCTAGTTGATGCACTGAATACAGTCATTAACAATTCCACGTGAGTTTTGTTCTTGCTTTACAGTAGGATGAGGTTATTAAAATCTTGGGCTGCTGATGTGAGAAATTCTGCTGGCTCTTCTGGGAACCAAGAATACTGAGTAGCTGGAGTTTGGGTTTCAGGTGAAAACCATCTTTCATTTCTGAGAATCAGCATTTCTCAGAAAGGGGAGATCAGTAATTTGTTTTTCCTTATACTACATTTTATGATCTCTTTGACAAAAACAGTTGTTGGAAAGCCCAGAGCAGCTCCTGAGACAGTTTTCTGCTCGCTCTCTTCCTTGATCTCTGCTAGTATAAATCCTCTGGAGACTCTGGGTGACAATTCTAGTTGTATTATGTCTACTCTGTCTGTAACCACAACAATTCTTTCTCCTACCCCTGAGTTACCAATATCCTTAGGTTACTGTACCTATCAGTCAGGAATTAGATGGTAAGGAAGCCCAGCAGCTGGGATCCCTTGCTAAGGATAAGGCCATTGACAAAGGGATTGGAAAAAAGACAGGAGTCCTCAGTCTTTGGCAGTGACTCCTGTCAAGTGTGAAGGATGGGTATCTCTTCAAGGAAGAATTCGCAAATTCCCAAAGCAAATGGACCAACATTGATGAAGGTATCCAGTATCTGAGGGAATTAACCATGGTGGAGGTGATTAACCTCCCCCTTATTGCTAAGCATGATGTCATATGGTGCGGAATATAGAAATAGAATCATAGAATAGTTTGGGTTGGAAGGGACCTTTAAAGGTCATCTAGTCCAACCCCCCTGCCGTGGGCAGGGACATCTTCAACTACATCAGGTTGCTCAGAGCCCCGTCCAACCTGACCTTGAATGTTTCCAGGGATGGGGCATCCACCACCTCTCTGGGCAACCTGTGCCAGTGTTTCACCACCCTCAGCGTAAAAAATT